CCCTGCAGTTTTGACCCCGCTGTGGAGGGCTTTTTCATTCTAAGCATGTCATGTTGCTAAAGCTGTTTAATTTGGGGGCAAAGACAAGCTGGAGCTGAGGGAAAGGCCTCTTCTATTTAAGCCTTTTCCTTTGCAAGGACTCTTCATTGCATAGCATCTCCTATGGTAACTTTCAGGCTACACATCAACCCAGCCCTTCTTGTAACATGTCCGACCCTACTCACAGTTCTACCACCATAAGGACTTGTCGTTATGGCCCAGGGCAGGGAAGAACGATGCCATAGGTCTGGCTGACAATACCCTTTTCCACCCTAAGAGCAAACAGTGAGGTCCATTTCTAGAAATGACCATCCACAATCCAATCCCAGAGGAAGATCATCCACAGTCCAATCCCAGGGGGATGATCAGACCCAGGTTCTTATGCCTTTTCCTCATGTTAAAAACTAAGATGCTGGTAACAGTGTACATTTATACAGCATGTTGCTGGAAAGGATCTATAAGTGCTTTAAAAATGTGAAGGAAATAAGTCTCCTGGCACCTCCATGTGGTCAGTATAGTAAAGTTACCTTATACCTGGAAGACCTGAGGTATGGCACCCTTGCCTATGCTACGCCAGCTCTGGGCGAAGGGGCGGAGATGTCATCCCTTCTCCTGGTGTCAGTTCTTATAGTGGCATTTTACAACATCTCTAGGGCGTTCGGTGGCACAAGGATTCTATATTTAGGGAATATTATTTATTGTGTAAATTATTAAGGAATAGATTATTTATGAAATAACTACCTTAAGCTTCTCCTGCTCATTTTTCTAGGTGATGAAATTATTCCATCTGAGGGAATGAATAATGCCAGCCAGCTAGGAAATTACAGCACAGCAAAATGGTATCTGCTTATTACCTCAGGCCATATTTATTCAGCATGGATTGACCCTCAGCTGGAGATGACAGCTCATGGCCCAATGAATGACAGAACTGGGCCATGGCAAATTGAACTTTCAGAGCCTCTAGCAGACTGATAGCTTGGAGGAAGTTCTGCATTAAAAACAAAGACTTGTGTTATATTCTTGGAGCAAAAAATAATGTAGGGCAGGCCCTAAGCATTATCTTTTAACCACTTCCCATTTCATTTTAGGCAAGTTTTTTTTTCCAGTTATGAGGTTTTTCTTCTCCTTCTCAGCAGTCTTTTTTCAAAGCTCAGGTGACAGCTGGTATTATTTCTGCTAAGAGTTAAAGAAGGTTTAATTTATTGCAATTTTAGGAAAACGTAGGGGTTATTCATAAATTCAATATGTAGCCTTGTAGCCAGATCAGCGTTACATCTGTGCTTTAGCGTGGTCAGAGTGAGTACCATACTGCTGGAGGTACTGCACCAAATCCAATAAAGGATTTAAGTGTGTAATGCAGTATTTAATTTGAAGCCTTGCAAAAAGTGAATGCAATAGAAAATAAAAGTAAGCAGCTTTTAGAGACCTGATACTAACGGAACTTGCACAGCTACGCAATTTGGCCTGAGAGCTATAGATTTCTCTTTCAACAGATTGTTTCCTTCTCCTGAGAGGAAGTTTTTAATGGGCTGCTCAAAGGCTCTTGCAGCAACCAGTAAACTGAAAATGTCACTCTGGCTTGCACTGTTAGAATCTGAATTCAACACAGAACAGTGTAACGTGAAAGCTTCAGTGCAGTGATTGTGAAGTCCATTCTTTATATAGTCCTTGCAAGGAATACAGTTGTTACTGTCTGCTTCGAGTATTATTAAAAAAAAGGAAAGTATTATGTGTAAATTTGATTAGTGTGCATAAAATATGAGTTACTGTTCTGGACCTCAATTTACCAAAATTAGGTGGTTGTGTAATTTATTAAGGCTTGTTTCAATCAAGCCCTGGGCAGATGTTAACCAATTAGTCATGTCTTAAGTCAGAGGTGGGCAATTATTCTGGCTGGAAGCCAACTTAATAGCTTTTGGTGTCTTCACAAGAGCTACCTCTCTTTCTCTCCCCCCACACCCTCTTGGGAACCTGCCCGCAGCTGTAGCATGCCCCATTCCCCACCCTAACCCAGAACCTGCTGGTTATGTCCACAGCTGACACTGGGGCATCTGCCAAGGTCACCTAATGGTGCCATGTCAGCTCTGGGCAGAAGCAGTCCTGCCCACCCACCCAATGCAGCAGAAACAGCCCCATGTGCCCACCTGGCACCATGCAGCCGCTGTATCCCATGAGTTGGCAGCTGCCTGCCCACAGGCCAGATACAATCTAGTGGGCCAGATCCAGCCCGTAGGCCATATTTTGCCCACCCCTGTCTTAAGTAGTACCCCACCCACACATTCATGCAATTAATGTCATGATAAAACAGGGAGTAAGCCACAAAAAAGGCTGCTGACAGACATGAAGAAAAAAGGGTGCTTTACCAGAAGAAGCAGACTTTGTAGCATTTGTATAAATTGCATGCTTCAGCAGGGCTTTTTTTTTGGCACTTGTATCTAATAAACGATTCAATAAGCTATTACATAGAAGTGCCAAAAAAGCCCTGCTGAAGCACCCAATCTATACAGACATTGGGCAAGCCAGGTCCAGCTAACGCAATGCCTCTTCTAGGCATGCACAGGGCTTGGTGCAGGGGTGTGCCAAGTTTAAACTAAAGCATGAGGGGTTTTTTTTTTTACATCTGTAAGCAGCCTTCCTTATTACAGAAAATATATGTAGTAACTGTGGGTAGTTATGACTTAAACTAGATGTGACTTAAACTGAATGTGCGTCCAGGCTGATCCACTGATCTGCCAATCGGGGCTCTCAGCCTGAGGAGCGCATTGGAGCCTTTGACTCCAGTGGCTCTTAAGGCTGGGACCACTGATCAGCTGAGTGCTGCTCCCAGCCTAGGGGACCTACCAAAGACTTGGCTTTGATGCACCTCTGAGGTTGGGAGCAGCAGTCAGCTGATTGGGGCTCCCCACCCTGGGGACACATTGGGGTCCTTGATTCTGATGTGTTCCAGAGTCTGGGAGCCTTGATCAGCTGACTGGCTTGCTACTTGCCCAGGATCGTAATCCCAGGATCCTACTGCACTGGCAATATGGTGCAATTAGGATCTGATCCCCAATCCCAGTTACACTTCCTGCCATGCATGTGTAACATTGCAGAAGGCGCAATTGTTGGGATCGCAGATCAGAACCCATTGCGCCCATAACTGAATGTCTGCCAGGGGCCTAAGAGAAACACAACTGCCTCCCCAAAAGTGTTTTGATATAAAAAAAACTGAATAGTAGTTAAATATCACTGTAGAATATGAGCAAAGGTCATACTAGTCTATACAGTTCTAGCATATTACTAATAAAAATGTTATAGAAAATTCTAATTAATCTTCAATTTATGATCGTTTTTCCTTATATACTCCTTTCCTTTTTCCATTGGAATCCTCAAATGACAGGGCTGGAAGAAACCTCTAGACATCAGCTAGTCCCGTCCCCCCCACATCCAGACAGGTTCATTATCTCTAAACCATGCCTGAGAGATGTTTGTTCAGCTTGCTTGCAAAAATTTCCAATGATCCAGGCAACTCAGCCACCCTAGGTAATCTGTTCCAGAGCATAAAAACTTAAGTACCAAACTGAGTCAGACCAATGGTCCATCTATCCCTGTATCTTGGTCTCAATCAATGGCAGTAGTGGGTGCTATACAGGGACAGCATTGAACCAGCTATCCCCAGTGGCCATGGAAAATAATTTATAAACGTTTCTTCTTTGTAATAACAATTTACGTATTTGAAATAGGTTCTTTTTTTCCCCTTAGACATGATCCTGCAGAGCCAACATGGCATCAATTGTACAAGTAGACAGAAGCAAAGGTTTAAATTGACAGGGCAGTAACCCAGGGTCAGGGACAGGCGCTTTACCTGTGCCAGGAAAAAGGACTTTTTCCTGGCACAAAAAGCTAGTGTACAAGTGTTAAAAGAGTTTTTTCCAAAGAAAACCAGCTCTTCTGCAAAAAAAAGTCAAGCCTTCCCACCAACACATTTCCCAGAAAGTTTTTTGGTGCCGCTTAGAATGAACGTACACTATTTTGGGGGCACAAGAAACTCCACTGTCCCATAGTCCTCTGCTCGCCCCAATAGCCTACCAAATGGCAAGCTGTCAAGGAGCTCTGCAGAGACCATGCTGCCAGGTGCTTCAACAGTGCCAAAAATGTTCAAGCCTTAGCACTGATTTCCACCCTTCAAACAGCACTAAGGCTCCCTGATAAAAGGGCAGCAAGACTTCCTGCCACTTGAACCACCCAGAGAGCCCCAGGATGGTCCAAGCAGTGGCTGTGTTGCTCCCCAACCCCTTCTAGGTCTCCCTGGGACTGTCCAAGAGAAGGCATTTCCTCACAGCTTGAATCAGCCCCAGGAAACCCAGGACAACTTCCCCCCAACCTCTTGCATGGGTCCACGATTGTGCAAGGAGTGGGGAGAATGCCTGGGGGTTTGGAAGGGGTGAGGACAGCAATTCTACCTGCCACCGCTGCAGGACAGGGGAGCTGTCCTTGGAAGCTGCTATTTTTCAGCAGCTGCCAGCTGATCATTGACAGCCTGCCCCCTTCACCAGCATGGGAGACCATTAGTAGCAGTAGCGTTATTGTCCAGTGCTACTTTCCTAAGATTTCCTAGCATAGGCAGAATATTTATCTGTTAGATGAGGAGATGCTATAAATGCCTGTAGATTCTAATCCCAATTATGCCTTTAAAACCAGATCTACACAATTTAAATTCTAATTAGGAATGAATATTCAAATGACTATATTTTATACTCATTTCAATGGTTCATGAACCGAAGCACAGCTTATTTAAATAATCTACTATAGAGGCTTCCTCTTACAGAGGCTTTAATGCAGTGTTAACGGAGTACACATACTCCACTCCATCTCCTCCTCCACTTAAAGAGGTGAGTGTTTTACATGTGATCAAGGACTGCATGTGGATAACTATGCATTGGAAAGACACAAGGAAGAAACCAAACAAAACAGACACAACATTACCCAATCAGAAAGAGTTTTGCAACACTAATCCTCAGTTTTTCCTAGTACAAAAATAATAATAATAAAATCAGTCTCCTTAAATGTCACTTTGCTTAACATACTTTTGCAATAAAATCTGAAGAAAAGTATTTATCTGTGTTATACAGACACATTCTTATCCATGCTTTGGGTACTCTTTATGAAAGAGTATAGACTGTGTTGTATTTGGGCAAGTACTCCTTCTGGCCTAATGTGGGTATTTTCTTTATGATTACATTGGCTCCAAGTTTCCCTTCCTTCTAAAATTTTCTGAGTGACAAACAAAGTGGGAAGGTTACACTGCAAAAAGTATTAGCAAAATTAAATTAACACTACCTCAGTTTCTTAGCATGCAATAGAGATTATTGACTGACTCGATATAAATGACATTTTGTATATAAAAAATCCCTCCAATCAATTTTCTTAGTACAAAAAAAAGAGTAATTCAAAAATCACATTATTATTTGATATTAGAAATGGGCTCATATTCTCTGTTCATTTTGTGTAGCATCTTCAGGCAGCTGCGCTTTCACACTTTCTATACACATATCAGGTCACATCATATGCAGTTATTCATCGTTCGGTTTTTCCATCATCTTCAGACCAAGTCTCCCAACCATTAACAGACTGTTTAAAGGAAAATATAGTGAATTTACTGAATTAAAGAAATAAAATAAAAACACAAAACAAATGTATGTACTTTCTTCCAGAAAGTAGCAAACTGAAATAATTTGTTTAAACCAAAATTAAATCTTCCTATTTTCTTGTTCATTTAGACTCTTAGCAAATGTAGTCTCAATTTAATTAAAGAAGATTGAGTCAAGCAGATGGGGTGGGATCAGAAACAGCATCATGTGTAGTACCTGGCACCAGCAATTAATCCTGCAGGAATGAATTTTCCAGAGTTCAGAAATCTCATTCCCATAACTGCAGTCAATGTTCCAGATGCAACTAAGTAAAAGATAAAAAGAACCCAGGTTAGCAGGTGAGGGGACATGTGAGGGACATTAATTCAGAGCTAGCAGAAAAAGAGCTATAATTAACAGTACTGATTACAATATGAAACCTGTTTCTATCACATAACAGGCAGAAAAGTCAAGAAAACTGCCCCTTTTTTTACTAAAAGATCTGAAGCTCCTGCTAAAACTGAACTTTGTAACATATTCTGATTGTGTTGCAGCTACTGCTGCACCATATAATAGATGTTTTAAATCTAATAAACCATTAGTCTATGTTTTGCATATATATTTAAATGGAGACTTACCCAGGGAAAGCCACACATTCTTTGGATCCTGAGATAGCTGGTAAGCGCCTAGTCCAGCTAAACTGCCAAAGAGAAGACCAGCAGCTAGTGATGGGACGCTACCTTGAATAAAACAAAGGGCATTATTAGAAGAGCAGACATGAATATGGTTCATAAAGCAGTCAAACAAAAAAATCATTATTCACTCTTCTGAGTCAGACTACAGCTTAGATCAGGGATTTCAACACTCACCTGGGCCCCTGGACTGAATCTGGACCTGGCAGCTGCAGCACCAGGCTTAATGCAGCCAAGCCCCAGCCATAGTTCATCACCTCATCCCCTGGCCCCATTAGGAACCCTGTGGTCCAGGTGAAATGGTTCCATAGGCCATATCGGGCCTGCAAGCCACATCTTTGACACTCTGGTTAAATCAAAGGATCTTAAGCGAGCCTGAATTTTACAAACATAGCCACCATTCATACCTAACACAGCACCATGCTTAAATAATCCTGCAGACAACATTACTGTCTTTTAACGTGCAAATAAAGCATTGGTTGCCTTACAACAATACAATGTATAACTAGAAAAGTAAAGGGATCAAAGTTGAGACCCATGATAAATAAAGGAGATTTAGGGGTTTTTTTCAGTTCAGTGTTCTCATACTTCCTAGAGAGGCAGTACCATAAAAGATGGGGATTAATCAAACAGTAGTGGCTTGAGACTCAAAAAAAATGAAATTTAAACTAAACTAGACAGCAAGAGCAGTTAGACGATGGAATGGCTTAGTAGAGAAGGGCTCTGAGGCATTGATGATAAAAATAAATTATAAAAGGTTAAACACACGCAAGACCTGATTCAGAGCCCACTGGAGATGTTGGAAAGGGATTATTGGGACTTTGGATCAAGTCTTTAGTGAAAAGGACAGCCCCTGATTGTCAAAGGAGGTGGGGGCAGGCTGCTGTTTCCAGTCTTGTCCTCAGGGATTTACAAATGACTGCCATGTACATGGGATTGACAAAATGCCTCCACCTATGGTAAGTGCAGAATGTCTCCAGGAGCCAGGCAAAAGCTACATTCAGCACCTGTTGCTGCTGGGGGCAGTACTTTGCCTTTTCTATTTGCGTGTCTCCTTTAGACTGGAAATTGCCAGAGCAGTTTGCAAACATCAGCACTCCAAGTTTACCAGGATGATAAGCACTTAGCGCTATAGGAAACCAAATCAGTGTCAATTCTGCTTGTGCCCTTCACCAGCCACATGCTCTGGCCTGGTCTGTAACTCTGACTAGGTATTTTATTATCAGTGCCAGCTCAGTGGGGGGCCTTTTATGTGACTTGGCATATATTTGGTTGTAGAGGTAGATACTTAGCAAGATTAATAGACTCTGAAAGCTCCATTGGGAAAACTATCAATAGCTCAGCTACAAACTGTTCCAATCTGGCAGGAGGGATAAATATGGAAAATAATGGGGAGGGATGATGCTGGATATGTGTATTGAGGGGGTGAGGTGTGGGGACTGAGATATAGAATCATAGATAAATCAGGCTGGAAGGGCACTCAGGATCATCCAATCCAACTCCCAGCTCAAGGCAGGACCACTCCTGTCTAAGCCTTGCCAGACAAGTGTTTGTCTATATTGCTCTTAAGACTTTCCAAGAATGCAAATTCCACAGCTTCTCTAAGTAATCTGTTTTAATGCTTCACCACTCTCACAAATTAAAAAGTTTCTCCTAATATCCAACCTAAATTTCCCTTGTTCTAGTTTAAGATAGTTATTTCTTGCCCTGTCTCCTGCAGCCACAGAGAATAATCTATCACTATTTTTGGCCTTCAGGTACTTTAAGACTAATTAAATTCCTCTCCAGTCTTCTTTTCTCCAGACTAAATAATCACCATTCTTTTAACCTTTCCATATATATCATGCTTCCTAGGACGCTAATCATTTTTGTCACTTTCTACTGGACTCTTTCCAATCTGGCCACATCTTTTTTGAAGTGTGGGGCCAAAACACAGCACTTCAGGTAAGGCCTTACTATTGCCAAATTGAGTGGAAAATAGGCATCTCCTTTTTGCTGGGATATTGGAATGGTCTCTGGATTCTATGACCTGACTGGTTCAATATCTTCAGCTGTACATTTAAAATACAGATGATGATACAGAAGAGTCAAGTAAATTATACCCAAAGACAGAGCCACGCACTTAGCTACCATTCTTCCATTTCTAGCATGCTTATCTAATATTCTTACTGTCACAGGCTAGTCTTATTAGCAGGGACATGACAGCCTCCTTTTTTCTCTGAGTTACCTTATTCACTTTTACTATTCCTTTCAAAAAGCTTAGGACTGGGAGTCAGAACATGTGGGTGCTATTCCTGACTCTGCTACTGACTTGACACATGACCTTGGGCAACTCTGTCTCAGTTGTGCCAGCAGCAATGAGAGGATAATAATGCTTATTATTTTGCAATGCCCTCTTCACCACACATCTCCACTCACAGTGCAGAGGATGAAGAAAGTCAGCAGAAAACACACTAGTAAGCTCTCCGAAGGTCCAATTTAATCACATTTATGGGCACAACTCCTGCCGATTCCAATTGTGTGGGAAGAGGTCTTCAGGGAACAGCATACATCTCAAGACTGCATTAGACATCAACCTGTCCTAAAGAACTCATGAGGACTTCAAGATGAATCAAGGGCCTCCCTACAAGCACTTTCAAACTGAAGATTTACTTGTCTGCATGAAGGAGACAAACTAAGAAAGCAAACAGGAAATGGAACAACAAATGAGAGAATACAGTTCCAAGCTCCACCACATTCAGTCGTGTCTAGCAAAGAAACATGGCAGAGTAATTCAGAGCTAGCGCAAACATAATGCAGGTCGGACTTCCTACAGAAAAGTTAACCTTGAAAAATCAGCTCTCTGAGCAGCAGCAGTCACCAGCTTAAACGTACCATTTTCTGAAGTGATAAGAGAACTAAGTGTAGTGTGTAAGATGGAGCTAGTATGATTTATGAATAATAAAAATAATTACTGTCTTAAGGAAAAAAGCATTGAAGATTTTGTCTTATATATTATTGGGTAATATACAATTGTATAGGTCATTGATGTTCAAGACAGCAGCACTAAAGCCTCTCTGAAGCAAGCTTAAATGGAGTCACCCAAAGAATAAAAAAGCATAAAGCCAAATGTTGGTACGGAGTAGGTGCCTGATACGGAATTTATCGTTCAAAAACAGGAAGTCAAATAAAACAGCGCCCCCCACACCCAAAACTACAAAGAGTTATCAGTATACAGCACTAACTGTCAAACTTAACAACAGCACTAAGTTAGAGATAATTGCTGTACAGAAAACTCTCTCCTTTACTTTTACATGTGAGATATCATTCCTTACCATTTTAAGCAATTATGTATCAGAAAATGTAAGGGTTTACCAATACCATACCTGCTTTAATATAACCAGTAATTCCTCCTGATGCAACCAGAGCTGCATAGCCAAAACCAATCCAGTCCCAACCCATTCTGGAATACAAAGAGGACATCAACACTTATTTACTGTTTTAATTTCCTCTCCTTCTCCACCCATCCAGTTTTCTTTTACAATAGACTTTACTGCTTATGAAGGAACCAATGAATTAAACTTGTAGATGAAATCACAAGTTAGTAGGGAGGGAAAGACTGCAGCAAGACTTGGATAGGTTACAGGGGTGGGCTAGCAAAAACAGGATGCGTTTCAACAGCGACAAGTGCAGGGTACTGCACTTGGGCAGTAGTAACCAGCAGCACACTTATAAGATGGGAAACTCCCTTCTTGAGAGCACGGAGGCAGAAAGGGATCTTGGAGTCATTACTGACTCCAAGATGAACATGGGCCAACAATGCAAGGTCACGGTTGGCAGGGCTAACCGCACCTCGTCGTGCATCCACAGATGCATCTCAAGTAGGGCCAAGGAGGTGATCCTCCCCCTCTACGCAACACTGGTCAGGCCACAGCTGGAGTACTGTGTCCAGTTCTGTGCGCCCCACTTCAGGAGGGATGTGGACAACATTGGGAGGGTCCAGAGGAGGTCCACCCACATGATCCGGGGACAACAGGGCAGACCCTACAATGAGAGACTGTGGAACCTGAACCTATTCAGCCTTCACAAGAAAAGGCTGAGGGGGCACCTGGTGACCGTCTATAAACTCACTAGGGGGACCAGAAGGGTTTGGGAGAGACCTTGTTTCCCCTCGTGCCCCCTGGCATAACAAGGAATAACGGCCACAAGTTGTTGGAGAGTAGGTTTAGATTAGACGTCTGTAAGAACTACTTCACAGTTAGGGCGGCTAGGATCTGGAACCAACTTCGTAGGGAAGTGGTGCTGGCTCCTACCCTGGGGGTCTTTAAGAAGAGGCTTGATGCCTACCTGGCTGGAGTCATCTGAGCCCAGTTTTTCTCCTGCCCAGGCGGGGGGTCGGACTTGAAGATCTACAAGGTCCCTTCTGACCCAACTTCTATGATTCTATGATCCCTGACACTTCTTTTTTCATATAATGGGCAGTTGCAACATGAGCTTCCTTATACTTCTCTTCCAATCCACCCACAATCAAACATTGGCAAAGCAGGAACAAATGAACCTCACAAACATAAAATCCCAAGAAATCCCATAATCCCATAAAAGCCAATCCATGATCTCACCAAAGCAGAAACAGCCCTGGGCTGGATCCAACATGGTAAAGCCTAAAACATTAGGAAGGATTTTTAAAACATTGGAGGGAAGTTAGGTCTAAAGCACCAGAAAGCACCGATGTGCTGAGGGAGGGGCAGTGTCTAAGGCAGTGGTTCTCAACCCTTTTAGGGCTTAATTCAAGCCCCCCCTCCCCCCCAAAGTGCAGGCTCTTAGTTCTCACTGAATTTTTTCAGTGCACAAAAAGAACAGAGTCATTCATCTGCTGCAAAGAACTCAGAAAGGCCTCAGCACTGCAGAATGGCTTTGAAACCATGGATCCTCTCCGGGTTTATCCCACGCATCCTGGCAGGGCACCTCCCAGGGCTAACCTTGCCTGAAAGGATCCCGAGGCAGCCCTGGAGGAGAACTTGTGCTCTAAGGCAGCCAGACTCAACAGAAGCCTGTGGGGCTGGTTCCCCACTAAACCCCAGCCCTGATGACAGTGTGAAATGCTGCGGTCGCTCCAGCCCAGGGGTTTTGGCCAAGGCAGAGGTTGGGCTGGATGGAGTCAGCCCCAGACCCAGATCTAGATCCGGATCCAAACCCAGACCTGATCCAATCCAATTCAGATCTAGACCCCACCTCCCTCTCACCCCCATGACCCCATTCCAATTTCAGACCCAGATCTAGACCCCATCTCCCTTACTCCCCCAGTCCAGACCTGGATCCAGATCCGGACCCAATCCAATCCAGATCTAGAGCCCACCTCCCTCTCCTCTCCAGATCCGGATTCAGACCCAGTTCTAGAGCCCACCTCCCTTACACCCCACTCCCGACCCGGTCCAGACCCAGACCCAGACCCAGACCCGACCCAATCCAGATCTAGAGTCCACCTCCCGGTGTCGCCCCGCTCCGCGACCTGCCGCAGCCCCAGGCGCGCTGCGCTGCGCTGCGCTGCGCGAGGATGGCGGAGCAGCCCGGCCCCGGCCCGCACTGACCTGCCGTCGC